TGTATTTCATTGTAACTGTGATATATTTTTGCTTTGTGCTTCTGGCAACTTCGATGCATAATTAGTTAGTTTATGTTCCACATGGGACATGGCCTGTCTTTGTGTTAAGTCTCTGTGTAAATATACAGTGAAAGAATTGAAATCTTTGAGAAAGAATCCCTAGGAAAGAATTTAGAATGTGTTACTTAAGACAATTAATACTTGGCTGCCTTAGCTTACTCGGAATGAACGGTTGCTAACGTAAGCAAATATCACGTTTCAGCAATCAATCAGAATTGAGATAACCACACTACGCCACTAGCAGGTATCCCCCTGAGTAGGACTGGGCGATACATCGATGCATCGGAAAACATCGATGTTGTGCAATCATCGCCGATCCGATGCTTAGACTGGCCTCCTTTTCGAAGCATCGTGAATTCCGATGTGAGCACGATGTTTTCCGATGCCAGGTTGACATCGATGTTTCCCGATGCCGCGAAGCACGATTCTCCCTCTCCAACATCGATGTTCGCAAGCACGCGCGATGAGCATTTTCCCCCGATCATGCGGCGACATCGATTGTCGAGACGATATTTTCCCCTATGTTTCTTCCTTCGCGAAGCATCAAGTAACGATGTGCTCACACGATGATTTCCGATGTGACTAGACGATCTTTCCCTTGTGTTCCTTCTTTCGCGAATTATCGAGTAACGATGTGCTCCCACGATGATTTCCGATGTGACTATAACTCATCGCCAATGAATGAATCTTTCTTCATTTCGTGTAAATCCAAGAAAAGAAAGTGATTCTCGGAGGATTATTTATGTTTTGTTATTTGACAATACTTTTAGATCATTTTTGTCTTGTTGAAGAAACGATCGTCTGTTTCGATAAGACTTTTTATTTATTTACTTTTTTATCTATTTATTTTTCTTTGTTAAATCTGAAGAATTGCATTCCCTCAATATGGATAAAATNGTTTCTGATTTAAATAAAATTTGCAACATTATTTACAAAATTACAAGAAACGAATTATAGTGAACTCCCAGGAGACTAAAAATCAATTTAATGTAAGAGTCCATTCTATTTATTGTTATAACTATGTATAGGTATGCTGTAGCATTTAAAATGCATAACATGTTATTATTGTAATTGCAAATTATATAAATTTCTGAATAATTTAAATTTAATCAATTTCAACTTCAGTATGTTTCGTAGCAAGAAATTTAAAAATGCAGCAAATATAACTTGCTCCGCTTAAGACAAATAAATTCCTAGTCACACATTTTCCTAATTTTCCTATATATAAATATATATAGATGACAGCAGTTAATAAACAGTTTTTCTCATGGTTAACAGTTTGAATAATTTGATTTTTCGATTTTTAAAGATATTTTTTAATCATGGTTTGATTAAAACAAATGTGATTCTAGATTTATTTTAAAACTCTCTACACAAGATATTTATAATACATGGTTACGACTTAACTTAATTTTTCCTCAGGAAAACTTATAAACTTGCTGTAATTTATTAAAGAACGCTATCAAATATATAGAATATTATAACATGTTAATTTATGAGGAATTTGTTATACTTATACTAAAGAAGACTAATTGTGCAATTCTTGATATACATTTTTTAATTCAAAACTCTATCTGTACTTCGTCTAAATTTTTAGGATGAATGTTTATTATTTTATGCTAAAGACATAATTCTGATTATGTTTATAACAATTGATTAAAAAATCAAATTCATTGTAGCCCCTGAAAAAAAAAATTTTTTTTTTGGTGTTGATTGGGAAAAGTTCTGCACTACTCAATGAAAGACAAAAAGTTTTTATTTCAATCATTTTGCTTTCGATCTCGTATTCATCCAATTATTGTTTAGAACAACTGGCATAAAAAATTCACGATCAGAAAAAATGTCTATGAAATGCAATATAGCGATGGCTTTAAATGTTAAGCTTTTGTCTCAAATAACTGAAAATGTTAATTTATCTTATTAAAAAGAAAAAAAAAAATAAATAAATAAAAAAAAATTCTCGTTTCCCTGCACAGACGCTATTTACGTAAAGAAACTATTTTACAGGGGAAGACACGGTACAATATAAGTTGATTCGCTAAAATGATAGTTAAAATTTTGGTTCTGAATATCTCAAAATTTCTATGATTGCTTGAAGTTACTGGTCTATTTTTGCTATTATTGCTGAGTCGATTTTTGCTGATGCGATTTTTGTCTTTTGTATTTTTATACATTTAAAAAATATTTAAATATATTGTATAACCTTTTTATTTGCCAGTTAAAAGTATGGTATTTAAATATTGTATAGTGAAATAACCTCTAGGAAAGAACTCAGTAAGAAAATTTACAGTACCTCAATTAAAATTTCGTCAGTTTATTGGTGATATAAAAGATGGGCATCCGTTTTATAGTCAATTTGAATTAAGACTTAGATGATAGTATTGCGCTCGAAGATAAATTTATGTACTTAATGTAGACAACTATCAAGTTTCATAGTCAGAGAAGTTGAAAATTTTCTGCCAACTTGCGCCAACTACGTTAAAGTTATGGAAAGTGAAGAGACGATCTTTTAGTAAAATTTTTCGCACGCGAAGTATTACATTTGATTATTTCTGTACAAGGCAAAGGAAATTTTTCTTTAGCATCATTGTATGATGAACTAGAATCTTATTAACAAACTTAGGAGATTTTGGAAGCTACAATTGATAGGTGTGATTCAATTTTGTACCCCTAACTAAATCTTGTTTCGTTGAAGAATTTCTGAAAGGAGCACAATATAGGACATTTATTTCTTTTTCAATTAAAAATGATTAAATAATTTGATGGAATTTGTTAAATTTGACGTAGAAATTGAGCAGAAAATAAATTTGGTGATTGCGGTATTAGGACCATAAAAAGTGATGGTACTAAATTTAGTAGCAGCGAAAAAAATTTTAAATTTTCAACGAATGGAATCCTGTCATCGTCAGAACTATATTCAAATCCATCTCATACCACGAAACTTTATTTATTTATTTATTTTGGTTCAGATAAAAGTGCAAGTATTGATTGTCTTAACGTTCAAAAAGTAAGATGCAATGATGCAAGGAAAAATAACAGAAAGAAGAGCTAAGTAAGAAGCATTTAAAAAAAGAAACAGAATGAATTCATTGAATATTTTCTTGAGAAAACTGATATACATAAAAAAATTGTCGTTGTTTTTAACACTAATATTAATGAAACTATTTTTCCATCTTTTCCTTAGCTTAAAACTTTATTATGATTAATTCTGCTCTTTTGTTTCATACATCGATTAAAGTACTTGTAAGATAGCTTTTTCCTTTTTATAGTAGCAATTTTAATTTTGTAATTTTTTTCTTCAAAAATCTAATTTTATTTAGCTTTTTTCATTATTTCAAAAACAAAACGAATATCAAATGCACCTGAAAAAGTGGAAATAAAATTCATTAAGTTTTTTTCCTTATCTTTATTTTAAGGAAGTAAAACTAGTCTGAAAAAGTCTGCTTGTTTTTTTGTAAATTAGTAGAAACGAAATCCACTTTCATCTCATCCGCAGCAATTTCAGTTTATAACATTTTGAAAATTGTTTTAAGAGGAATTCGTTTTTGGCAACATAAATTATCTTGACCATTTCCAAAGAACACGAAAAAACTTTCCTCAAATTCAAATGTTTGTTCTCGTTTGTATCCGTTGCCAAATTTCTGAGAATGTACTGAGCTAGTTTGGAAACTAGATGTCTGCGTGATTTTTTTGTAAAACTTTTTTTTATTCCACTTTATAGTTCCTTGATAAAACAATGTTTTTATGTTATTTGGGTACCACGTGATGCTTTGCAAAAGGCATCGAACTTCATTAATGCGTAATTAATGCCTCAGTCGACTATTTTATTTTTATATTTGTGAACCTTTATTTTTATAACTTTTACTTTATTCACCTTATTCCGGACTGCATTTCATGTTCTCCTGGGTAGGGGGCAGTATTAGGTTGTCTCCGGTAAAAGATTCGGGTATAAAGAAAATAGAAGAATTTTAGCTTGTGTAAACTAAATTGCGTAAATCCACATCTCAATGATCAGGTAACTGCATATCAATGTAGGATAATTTTCCAAAGTACTTTTTTTCATACCTTAATCTGATAATTTAAAATTTGAAGAACACATTTCTTCTCAAGAACACGACAAAAAAAAATTAAATTCAGAACAACTGGGTACTTGCACTTCAAGAAGAAGATCTCCCATACCCATACATGTGACCTATGACGTCAGCGCCAGCTGATCTTTATCAGTAAAATGGCGTATTAAAGTTGAGCTAAGTTTCTCTACATAAGTTAAAATGCTAATCAACCATAAGTAAATTAAAAACAGAGCCGTATCGCTCTTTGAATTAGTTGAAATATAATTCTTTCACTTCTACTTCTTTTACTTAACTTAGATTTATTATTTATTTATGTATTTCATTGTAAATGTGATATATTTTTGTTTTGTGTACCTTGCAACTTCGATGCACAATTAGTTTATTTATGCTCTAAATGGCCTGTCTTTGTGTTAAGTCACTGTGCAAATATATAGTGATAGAATTAAAATTTTTGAGAAAGAATCCTTAGGAAAGAATTTAGAATGTGTCATGTAAGAGAATTAATACTTGACTGGCTTAGCTTACTCGAAATAGAAGGGAATGAACAGTTGCTAACGTAAACAAATACTACATTTCAACAACCAATCAGAATTGAGATAACCACTCTACGTGACTTGCAGGTATCTCCCTGAGTTATTCCGAGTATATATACAAACAAACCTGGAACGCCACAAAAATAGTCACATCAATGCTATGACGTCAGAAGAGGACCTCAAGACTTCCAGACGCATAGTTTTTTTTTTTTTTTAGGATAGATGGAGAAATTCACAAAAATAAATTTTATTTAAATTCAAAAAATAACTTTATTTTAATTCCCTAAAATAAAATGAAATATACAGAAAAATACAATAAGGAAATATACAGAGAAATACAATAATGAATACATTAATATTTTATACAGCATTAATGAAATTGTTTTTTTTTTTCAATTATTGAAAACAAATTTGTTGTAGAATACAAACATCATCACATAATTAATACTTGAAATTATTTTGGAGGAGGGAGTTTTCCTGGAAGAAACGGTTTTAACTGCGATGAGTGTATGTTTGATTCTTAAAAAATTAAAAGTTAATGAAGGTACGGTAACTTTTGTTATATACACTAGGGGACTAAGCGCCCTTCTGGCCGACGCTCATCAACCCCGATGATTTCTTCTCAATAATTGCTGTTTCAGTAAAACAGTAATTGTTGTTGCAATAAAACAGTTGAAATTATTCAACTAAAAATATATGTACTAAAAAAACACTTCTGTCTCCACTTTCCACGTTCAAATATTTCCTTTATAAAACTATTAAGATCTATAAGTGAACATAAATCATTTTTCTAAGTAATCCTTTTTTTAAATAACATTTAAAATTAAAAGTATATTGTTAAAACAAATTTGGTGAGTTCACAGCTATAATTTAATATTCTTGCTTACCAAATGAACAGATGTATATTTTAAATATAATTTTTTCATTCATCACTTTGTGCGTGAAGCTGAAAGTTAAATTCTAAATCATTCATTGAATCTCCTTAGCAGTAGTTCGTAAGAGTATATTAATGTAATTTGCACCAAAGAATAGTAATTGTAAAACGGTTAATTAGATCACACACTGATTTAAATAACTTTATCTTAAAACTTAACGTAGAATTACGTTATTCTAATAATCATAATAATGCGCACAATCTATAAATTCCTAATTCAGAAAAAAAAATCCAAATCTTAATAACTGTACTCCTTTAAATTTTGGGATGAAAAATTATACATAGGAAAACATCCTTTATGACTTATATCAATTCTATGCTGATAACAACCAAACCAATAAGAATATTAATTTTGGAAAACTAGATCCTGCCACATTATTTTCCAGCCAATAAAAATGAGCCGACAGCAATGGAAAATTGCGCCACCATCATTTGATTTTTATATGTAGTTAGATTTGCCGAAATTAAATTATCAAAGTTTTGGTATATAGGAACAAAAGGCCTGTTAACTTATTTACATCTTTACGTGAAGTGTTATTATGTAATAAAAGTTCTGATATTGAATAAATTTTACAATTTACACTTCATAATTGTTATCTTTTGAGAGGCAGGTTTGCTGGAAAAAAATCTGTTTTGCTCATGTAATTAGCATTGTTTGGAGTGCACTATTAAGATACATGGGTCCAGATATTAACATACATCATTACATTTCGGACGCATTGGATTGGTTAGTGGGTTTTCCAGTGCTGCCAACTACTTCGGTTTTTGCATAATATTTTATTGAAATGGTAGCCAATTAGAAACTAATGCTTGCAGACCTTTTGGTAACGTCTCACCACGAGCATTTCAAAGTCTTAAAACGGGATTGCTGAAACAAAGTGACTTTTCTCATAAGTTTTTCAATAATATACAAGTAGTGGTATGAAAAATTGCTTTAAATGTAAGCATAAACTTAGCTATCACTAGAAGAAATTTTTTCAAAAAGCGTAGAAAGTTGGCAGATCTGGTTTTCTAACAAATGACTTAGAAAAAAATCCCATAGTGAGCATGATCGGGCCACATAAGACCAGATATTGAGGAACATCAATGCATTTTAAATTCCGTAGACGAAATCGAACCTGAAGAATCATTCGATTTGTTCTCTACTAGGTATGCATGGTTGACTAGCGACATCAGTGAGTTTATTTTATAATTTCTTGGCAAAGTTAAAGCTTCATAAAAATATCCATTTACGGAAGGTTGAAGCCACTTAGATGTACTGAAAGGAGTTGCTTTGCTTGCATCTTTATCCTCCATCGATCCCGACATCAATGAAGATTTATCCAGTTCGAATTTTGTATTGTGATTTAAATCATTTGATACATTTGGTGATGGAAAGTAAGGTAAATTTTTGAAACCATGACTGTGAGGAGAATGCTTATCTGGTAATGATTCAATTTTATAATTCTTTGGCAAAGTTAGATTCTTCTGACTATTGAAACGTTGGACTGATCCAGCTGAACAAAGTCGAACTGATTTGTTTGAATGATCGACGTTTATTGTTGATTCCGACCCTGATGAGAATCCATGCACAGCAGATGTGGTGAACTGCGACATATCTGAATCATTTGGTTCATTTACTGATGGAAAATAATCCGAGTCGTTAGTAATATGGTTGGTTAAAAGTGTTTTATGTGGCGTTGAATCATCGATTTTGTAGTTCCTTGGCAAGGTTAGGTTCTTATGATATTTTGACTGGCATATGGATGACTGCAATGATTGAGTCGAGTAAGGTATAGATGTGTTTGAATAATCATTCATCACTGATTCTGACATTGATGAGCATCTACGCACATCAGATGTGGTGAATTGCGACATATCTGAATCATTTGATACATTTAATGAATGAAAATAGCCTGAATCATTGGTAATATCATTGGTTAAAACTGTTTTGTTTGGTGTTGAATCGGTTTTGTAATTCCTTGGCAAGGTTAAGTTTTTATGATATTTGGACTGGCATATGGATGACTGCAATGATTGAGCTGAGTGAGGTATCGATGTGTTTGAATCATCATTCATCTTTGATGAGCATGTATGCACCTTGGAATCGGTAAACTGGGGCAGATCACCTAAATCATTTGATAATGGAATGTTAGGTAAACCATTCGTAACATGTTTGTCTGAATTTGTTTTATTTGGTGTTGAATCAATTTTATAGTTTCTTGGTAAAGTTAGATTCTTCTGATACCTAGTTTGTCTCATGGGAGACTGATACCATTGAGCCGAATTTATTAAATTTGTTTTGCTCGAATCGTCATTTACAATCGATTCCGGTACAGATAAGCAACTGCGAGTATCGGAAACTGTAAATTGAGACATATTACCTGAATCACTTGACGCAGTTGCAATTGGAAAATAAAAGGAATCATTGGTAACATCTGGTAATGCATATGACGTTGTATCAATTTTATAATTCCTTGGTAAAGTTAGATTCTTTTGAGATTTTGTCTCCTTGGTTGAAGGCTGAAATGATTGAGGTGAGTTCGATGGGAACGTTTTGCTTGATTCGCTAATCACTGTTAATTTCGATATTGATGAGCAACGTTGCATCGCGAATGCGCTCATATCAGGGGAATCTGCAGAATTTCTGGGGAAATATGCAGATGAAGAACATGGCAGATAATTGGTACTATAGTTAAAATGTGCTGGATAAGGGTTGTCAGTTTGTGGAAAGGTTGCTTGTTCTTGGAGACTGTATGTTGATAGAAAATGTTTAGGAGAATGAACAGGAGATTCCGTGCTTGGTGAATCTGGTTTCTCGTTCACAAAGTTGCTAAGTAAAATTCCACCAGAGGTATTTCTATCGCGAGCGAAATTGAGCACATCCATTAGCCATCTCATGGATCTCCAAGTAGTGTCCACTTGAGTTTGAAACTGCTGCAGTTGTTTTAATCTAGATTTTGCAGAGGCTACTTCTGTCACGGAAAACGCCTAAAAAAGTACAAATTGATAAACTGAAAGATTTTTTTAAACCACAATTTCATAATATTAAAAAAAAAAATAAATAAAAGCAGTGGATACTCAGTGGAACAATTTTTTTTTTTTCTGTTGCATTATATTTTCTTACAGATCTTCGATATTTTTGCATCACTGATTTCAAATCTTCAAGCTACATGTTTTTTTGTGGCATTTTAGGTCTATTTCTTGTAGAAATGTATAAGTTTAAAAATGATTTATATAACAGGCAGTCGCATAAATCTTGTAACAGGCTTCTAGGTTAGTCAGGTCACCTTATTACTTAAAATTGCATAGAAACCCATGCCCGAAAATCTCATCAGATACTGCTAGCAACGCTTCCTCTTTATGAACTGTTTCTTCGTGTGCTTCAGAATAGGTCGTAATAGGAAAGCGCTCTAAGTGAAGTACTACGACTTTTCTGGACATGGATTCCATTGCAGATAATGTTCCCTAACTCTGACTAAAAGTTCGTTGCAACTTTTATCCAATCCCCTGTTATATACAGGGGCCCCCATCAGGGGGGAAGGTGGGCGCACGATGCGCCCACTTAAAGTTTGGGGGGAATTTTTACACTAAATAAAACGAATAGTTTGGGGGGGAATTTAGACGAGAGAATTTTTTTTTCTTAAGTACATAAATAAAAGGAGCATTGTCATATTATGAGTAGAATGCAAGCAAAGTAGCACTATTTCGAACAAGCTAACATGGAAGGGAGAAGTTAGCAAATTTTTTTGGTGGCGGGGGATGAATGCGCCCAAGAGCTTGGGGAGATGGGGGCGACTGGTTATATATTACCTTTTTGAAATTGTACATTTCGTTAAAAAATAGACTAAAATATTCATAAAAAGTCTGTAGCGTTTAGAGCATACCTAATTTCAGATTTAATCAAGAACCCGAATTAATCAAGATCAAATATTTGTATAAAGTTCTTATTAAAAACTGAAACAAAAATGGAAAAAAAATACAAAAGGCAAAGTTTTTTTTTTCCTTTTATTTTTTTAAAATTGTTAAAAAAATGATAATATTATTTCGAACATGAATTTTTAGTAAACTATGTTCTTTTAAATTTATTTTTAGGATTATAAAATGTTTTTGTTTTTTTCTTTATTGAAAATACTTATAGTATTGCGGTAACGCTAAAATCTTAAAAACTATGAAATTTTTATAAAAATATTTTTAAAAAATGTAATACGTTTTCATTTGGATGGTAAAAAATAAATTTTTTAGCACAATTAAGAAGAGTTATAAGGCTTAATTTCCGTTGTCCCCTCCCCCAATTTAAAATTGACCTTGCATGTTGAGAGGAAACTCTGTATTTCTCCTCCCTTTCTTTGATCTTTCTTGTCATTTATAGAAGTGCAAGAATAATTTTATTCCCTTTTGATAGAGTTATAGCATTTCTTTTTTAGTTCCTGAGGAAATCCTGAAATTTCAAAGATTTTGCATCATTTGCTTCCCATGCATAAAAAATAATTTTTTATTTATCTGTATTAGGTTTAATTAAAAGTTAAAATTTCAATATTGAAGCTCAATTTTCAATATGGCAAAATGGAACTAATTCTAATAAGTTTAGGATAAAATTTTAAAGTAATTTTGGTATTTGTGAAATTTGCTTCAATACTATGAAATTTTTTAATCATGCTTATTATGATAAAAAAAAATATCCATCTAAAAAAAAAAAAAAAATAGAAATCGTAAGCTGAATCTGTATGGTATTTTTAATGATCTTAACATTGATACCTATTTCGATACAAATATTTTTTAAATCAGCTTCAAGTTATTATCTGGCAGCACCAAATATTTTAAGTTGAGAATAAACAAATTCAGGAAATTATTCATTCTATTTAAAATAAATTACGATTGCGCTTTTTTCTTGATTAATTTTGAATTATACGTAAGTATTTTCTTTCAAAATCATATAATTTTTTCTACTGGTGCTGCCATCTAGTGAACACAAGAAAATACTATTTAAAACTTGCTTTTTTTTTTTTGCACGACTAACAGCATAATGTTAAACTGTAAAGCAAACGGTAAAGGTAATTACTATTGATGGTACAAAGTAACTAGCTGCTGGATTTTCAAAACACAAATATTAAAGATTTAAATTTCTCTATTTTTTGTCTAATTTTTTTTTATGAAGAACACTGGCGATGAAGGAAATATATCTTTTTTATTTACATCAGATTTTGTACTTGTCTAAAATTAGTTATTTGCGGCTACTAAATATTTTTTTGTGAATAATATAAATAATGCCTTAAATATAAGAAGAACTGAAATTTTATGTTAGAAAAAAAAAATAAAATGAAGAATAATTACTTTATTACAGTTAAATGTAGATAAAAGTCAATAGTTAAAATTCTGCTCTAGTAAAAATTATAAAATAATTTTTTTTTCATCTGACTGTATATATGACAATTTTTCTAAATTAAGGAGCAAATTAAATAAAGCTCTATTAAGCTTATCAGACAAACAATGACGTTACGCGTTTTAGAACTATTTTAGGCAAAATGTTTTTTTTTTTTTTTCTCTCTTTTTTTTTCACTTTAACTGAAATAAATATTTTAGTAGCTTAAAATACTTTAGATTATAAATTCAAAACATAAAATATTTTTCTTCGTTATATTATTATTATTATTATTATCTTTATTTCATTTTATTTTAACTATTGAGAAAATCAAAAAACAATAATTTATAAAAGAAAAATTCGTCCAAAAATTATAAAATCCTTAAAAATCAAAAGAAAACTTGTATATTATTATTATAGGACGTATTAAATTACTAATTCAAATTAAATAAAACTAATTAAAATCAATTACAATTAATTAAATTAATTACGTTTAATTAGATTAATTTTAATTAATTACAATTAATTACAATTGATCTTAATTACAATTAATCAATAATCATTGATTAATTACAATTAATCGTAAATAATTACAATTACTTACAATAAATTACAATTAATTAAATGTAATTAAAATTAACTAACATTATTAAAATAAAATAAAATAATTAAAATTAGTTAAATTAAATTAAAATACTTCTCGAAGGACGTGCTGGGCATTGGTTGTATTTATTTCCAACAGTGACGAAACACGGGAATACCTTGATATGAATTTAGGTTGATAAGTACTCATATGAACTGCAAACAAAGAAAACAATATTATTGCTAAATATTAATTGAGAATTAAAGATGGTAGAAATTAAATTAAATTATGTAATTGAAAAAATATATTGACGAGTAATATGTCAAAGAGATTCATTTAAATGTTCAAAGATACACGAGGAGTGAAAAAAATATTAAAAAATAATGAAAATCAAGAGAAGCATATTTGCATATCTATAGAGGACATCATCAGTATATATCAGTAAATATATTCAATATTCAATATAGTATCAGTATTCAATATCGTAGTTGTTCCTATGATCAGTCTTCTTATCATTGGCACTGCTACGACATTTATCATAAAAGTTGAATTAAAGCTATTGTACAAGTTGATATTTATTATAGACAATGAATTGCCGACTCTTGCAAAACTTAAATTACATAATGCGATTATCTAATTAATAATTACGTGTAATTAAAAATTTTAATTAAGCACTATTAAAAATGTTTAATTGAATTGAATTGAAATGTCAAATTGAATTGGCTATAATTTTAAAGATAAACTTATGATAATTGTATACAAAAAAATTTAAACAAATGAAGAATCGGACAAGAAGTTGCTTTCTATTTTAAAAGTTACTTAGAAACTTTTTATATTTATTTCCTGTTTCTGTTTATTTATTAAAAATTGAAAAAAAATTTTATCAAAAAAAATAAAATAAAAATATTGATCATGTCCGATAATTTTCTTCTATTCTCTACTATTGTTAAACTATGTAACAATACTTGACAAGAGTTAAATCTTACTTTTTTTTAACACAATAATAATAGTAGTATTGAATTATAATAATGGAATATCAGACTAAGTCTACTAGCTTTCTGTTTAAAGTAAAAGTTATTTGAGTTCGAATGACAAAATAAATGATCAACGGTATGTCGGAAATTCAAATATCTAATAGCAAATTCAGCAAACTGCCCTAGAAGTATTAAAATATGTAAATAATTATTATTACGTTACGTTGAGCTGTGAAACAATCAGCGAAGTTCACAATGACCGTCCTTAACATGTAACTACAACTTTTATAAAGGAAGAAAAAAGTATACACTAATAATATTTAAGCGATGGAAAGGCAAAATCTTTAACATTGTATAAAATTGGTTTTCAAAAAGGTGGAAAAGCACAATAATATATAACTTGTTTGCAAGCAGAAGAAAACTATGATGAATAGGACAACGATCATTGTCAACATTTAAGTTTCAACTGGCAATCAAACTGGTTTTATGTTTGTACACCTGCCTTCTCAGCAGTGATGTTTCAGATTTTGATAGCGTTTTCAATTTTTTCATCATTTATTTGGTGACACCCAATGTATAGACGTATTTTTGGCTATACTTTTGACAAAGGTTTAGAAAATATACATTAAAAGTGAGCCTTATGGAACACCCTTAACATTAAAATATTTAGAAAGTTTTGAAGGAATATTGAAACAGATCACATTTAAATTCCGGTTACTTCTATTTAATTACGTAAGTGACCTTGTATAATTTAAACAGAAACTTTCCGGTTTTTCCACTAAAAGCCATTTCTACATGAGATTTCACCTCAATCTAAGAGTTGAAGCACTTTGCATTACGAAATTTGAGTCAGTTCTGAAAGTTTTACATCACGCAATATTTAGTTAGCGCTGCCATCTGTTGACGAACTTAGTACCTAGTGTTGAAATTTGGTAAGGAAAAAAAATCTGGTTTCCTAAGTAAAACTTCAAAAATTTTAAAATTCTCTCTTATTTAGATTTTTTCAAATCGTCAATCATTTTATTTAACTTCCTATTACTTTTAAAATAGTTAACAGGAAAACAGTCCGAATTGGAAAGCAAAAATTTGAAAATAAATTGGAAAATAACAAGTCTTACTTATTTGAAATAGGCCTTACTTATTTCAAATATCTGAAGAGGCAAAAGTACGCAGTCTTTTCTTTCTGTAATGCAGTCCTTTTGCCCAGGAGCCGCGCATACGGAATTAACAGGAGGCAGTAAAAGCAAAAGAGATACGTCGGAGTTCAATTCGATAACTTCGTTGTCGAACAATCTACAGGGAATAATAATGGTGAATACTTTGAAGACGTAATAACATACAGTGAAGGAACTTGGACGTGACTAAATGCGAGAGTGAAAATGTGAGAATTATACTTTTTAGAAGAAAGGTTTAAGATTACCAATAAAATTCTTTTGGCTATACATTTTATTGAGTGAATATTTTGTTACAATTTATTTTTCCATTTCAAATGAAAATATTTCATTTTTGGTTTAAGAAATGCAGTTTCAATTATACCTATTAGTATTTAATCACCCTTAATCTATGTACAAATTTCTTTTATGGGGCATCATAAACTCGGGTATTTCTATATCTATTAGCAACACTACAGTTATTATTCATTTTGTTAGGTCGTCTTAAGTAATAATTATGTGATGTTAAGTATTTATTTACGTTAAGTATTTACTTAGTTAATGCGTTAAGCATTTATTTAGAGTAATTTTGTATCTTTGTAGAAATAAAAACTTAGTTACGAAGTAAATATTTCTATTTATTTTTTATCATTTCCACAATAGTTGTAGAAATTGTAGATACTGTCTTCTTCTTCTCAATATATATATGTATATGTAAGACTGTATATATATACAGTCGGACTTCTATTTAACGAACTTCCATTTAGCCAATTTCTCTATTTTTCGAATTTTTTCGAGGAACCAAGAACATTTTGGAATTTTCTTCGTAAAATAACTATCAAATAGCGAAGTGAAATTTCCATTTAACAAACTTTTCTTTTAGATCCACTTTCCCTATTTTCCAAAATATTTCAAACTTGTTAACGCATTTTATGGGGGAAATGACCTTGAATTAATTTCGAAGCCACTACTTTATGCAAAGTTTTAGTGCTTTCTCTAAAAGTTATTTTGGAGAAAGTAGTAAAATCCCTTTTTATTTGCATTTCAAACGAAAACCTCAGTCCAAATTAACGGATTTTATGATTACCAATTAAACTTTAGAGAGCATGTGGTTATGTATGTTTAAAATTACTTTTATGATAAATGCCCTGTAATTTTAGATATAAATTTAGCTTTTTTTAGTTGAAAATGTATGTAGCATGACAGCGTAATACTGGACAATGTTTTGCTCTATTGCTTTCTATACAGAAAATACTTTTATGGTTTAGATTTATAAAATAAATAGTAGATACTAGTTTGCAAGATAAAGGGGCATCAATTGCTATTTTAATTATGCCTGTTGTTCATAAATTTACAACCTGCTTTGTGTTGTACAAGTATTTTAAAAGGTGATTTTCTATTTAAGTAATTTTCCATATAACGAACTTTTTATCGGGATTTAGCGACTTCGTTAAATGGAGGTCCGACCATATATATATATATATTATACACCACGGCAACAGATAGACGGTGAAAAATTGGTTACTACATTGTTTAAAAGTAATTTATAAGTCGTGAGGACTGGAGAAGGGGATTAGAATATTTAAATATAGTAGTGCAGGGCATTTAGCTTGGTTATCATTAAAGCTTATCTAATGCATATTTTGAAATGTCACATAGCTAATAGCTAAAGGCGGCTAGTAGCTTAAATAACGTGAGAAAAAGACTAAGCCTAGCAATTATATTTTTAATAAAGCTAATTATTTCTCGAAATATATGAATATTTAACCCCAGTTTTAAATAAAATTGATAATTTGAATAGTTAAAACTAATTTGAAAGCTAGAAAAAGGAATTCCACTGTCTAAAGCTACCCAATAGATACACCCTATAGTAGCTCCTCCCACTGGAAAATTTTTTTTTGTTTCTTTTTTACTTATTTTTGTTGTCCTCTATTCTCATACTATTATTAACATGTTGTGACTTTTTTTAATTATGTTTACATGAAAATTAAATACGTTCAGATTTTTATATTCAAATAAATAAAGCAGTCTTAGATTAAGGCTTTTCAACTAACCTGTGATCGTCTGTTTGATCGGAAGGCACATCCAGAATTTTCAATAAATTTCGCACTGCTGAAGATAAGACTTTTTGGAATTTCAACTGTCGAAGCGTAAGATCTCTTATACCATTTGTTGCCTTCGATTTCAGCCATATCCACTCTTCTCTAAAAAATAGAATTTGCAAGTTGACGAAAAATATTAGAATGGTTAATTGCATTTGTATCAATATAAGTAAGCAAGTAGATTAAAATTTTAACCGATAAAAATTTCTAATAATAATTTTAATGCTTTTTTAAGCAGTATAATTAATACTATAATGTAGTTTGTCTATAGATGATTACTTATTGACAAACGATAAACAGTTTTGGGTATTAGAATTATTTAAAACTAGTACTGACGCTTGTGAGTCTTGATAATCAATTGTAGTAATAGGTACTACTGGTATTATAGTAAAAGGTACTTTATGGTGATATAAATACTTAATATAGATATTGAGAAAATAATACTAGGTTATTAGTAGTACTTACTTGGGTCTTAATTTTATTTGCATTTGGTTTATTTCTTTTGCTATATTTTGAATAACTACAGTCGCAATATGTAGAGCAATATCCAATTTGATTTGATTATATCTTAATATTGTGAAGCTAACGTAACAACGTAATCAAGAGCTTTTTTTATACATGAAAACTATTCATAAAACATTAAAATTACGAAGGAAAATATTTGAAGTAAATATTTTTCTTCAAATATTTGTTTATAAATCTTGGTTGTTAAAGAAAGCAAAGTGAAGGGAAGGGATAATAAACTTTTTTCTTATGACTAAATTATTTACCTTGTTTGTACTTTCATAGCTTTCCAAGGAGATGCATTAATGTAATTTTTATTGTTGTGTCTCCTTGAAGAATAAATTTTCTTTTGAATATTTATATTAAATAAAATATCTATGAGAGAAACGTATTCCTGACATTTTCAAACATAAATAATGTAAATATTTTACTTATTTTACATATATATATATTTTTTTTCTCAAGCATTTTTAGGCAAAATTTAATAATTTTAAGTAAGCATTTATATTTTTCATTGCCAACAACATTGTTTGTTTTCTTGTTTACTTAGTTCATTTTAAAAATGTCAGTCAAGCTCTTATGTTTTACGGTAAATCAGATTCACTGTGAAATAATGCAGAGTTTTTCTTAAATACATAATAAAATTAATTTATTATATAATTAATGATATAGTAAATAAATTTTGAACAAAAATGAGCTTATACTCACGAAGATACGTGTGGATTATCACGAACTTTATAATAAGGCAAAATATTGGGTGCTTTTTTAGGAACCAAAATTCGTATGAGATCTACAGAACTGCTAATTTTCACATAGGCTACGTACAATCCTCTGGATAATGGAATCTTACTGACGTGATTATACGTCATCATCGCCTGAAAAAATTAGTATTTGCGATATGAATAACATTTTATTAAAAAATTGCATTTAATAATTATACTTGAAAAAAAGCAACCTTCATTTCTTTTTCTTCTATACAGAGAATAAAAATAAGGTCAAAACTACCAAAATAATACGCCAAACTCACCGTGTTTCTGTCTCTATGTAGACACCATAAAGCTTGGTAATTTTTATAGAAGGACTTTAGAAATGATTTTTGAAAAACTAGCAATAAAATATGGTTTTGTAATATATGTAATGGAATTTGGCAATTTTATCGTGATAGATTAAAGCACGGCATAAAGGTCATTTATTCGGTTAAAATTATTATTCTTCAGTTTTATATTTTTTATTACATGTGTGGTAATAAGAACTATAATTTTGAAAACCAGAAGTACCGGTAAACCATTGCCGATATGAAAGGAAAAATTGCCAAAATGCATGGTTTGAATATCGTATATTATGGTTTTATTTACCAAAATATGTTTTTTTCTTTTTTTTAATCATAAATATTATCACCAGACAGTACGGTAATTTTACCAGAATTTTTTTCTCCGTATATGTTCTCTTTGCTTTGCACAAGCAATAATTTTCATCAAGAAAATTTGTATTGAAAAATAATTTGGCTAACAAACCATGACATGCAAAATATTTACATGAAATCTAAATTATGAATGTTATTCAACTATTCAATAAATGTTCAGAAATTGAATAATATAAAATAATTGCATAAAAACCATTGCTAAAATTATTTATTAATTTTCGTGATAACGTATGACATTATTATTCAAAATTAACATTAAAAATTTAAACGTGGAAAGTTGAGGTTCTCCTTTTTATCCATTTTATTCTCCAAACTTATCTTTAACTGTTCTATTTTTTTAAAAATTTGAAAACTTTTTTTAAAAACATTTTCTATCAAATAACTATCAAAAGTATTTTATTTTTGTTACTGGTAAAAAACACTTTGTAATAGATCGAAATGAATTATTATAGAAGTATTTAATATGGAGTACACTTTAAAAAATTCCTGATCAAATTGCGGTATAAAGTATCAGCAATTTGTATGCATCATCCGTACAATTCACTTTACAGTAAAATCCGCTCTTACCGTAAAATATTATGCAGTCGATTCACAGTAATATTGGTATAATTAGAGTGCTTTAGTGATTTTACGATAATTATTTCTACAAAAATTGCTGTATATCAGATCTTTCGTTCCGTAACATGGTTCGGTAAAAATGGATTTTACGTAAAATATTATTTATGTAATTATATTTAATTTATATAATTATATATTATTTGTATAATTATATATTAATGTAATTATATATAATTGTTTACTTTTTTGAACAACTTACTTGCGTTGTTGAAAGTAATTTACTGTTTGTAGTGTAGAAATCTTGAATGGGTAAGACGTTTACGCTCAGTTTCCTTTGAAGCTTTGTTACGGGTACCCAACGCAAAGACATCGTATTGAAGTTCTTCGAGTCTGGAATATATTTCACTGTACACAGTACTGTTGTGTCATCCATATTTTTGATGGGTTTACAGTAGAACTGACCTAGATCTTGAATGCCGAGAGCAGCCTAAAATTACAAACTGCTGTTTACTAATTTACCTACTTTAAAGTATTTTAAATAAAAACAAAAAATACTTGAAATACCTCAAAGCAGTTCGAATTTCTCTACATATAAAGCAATAAGTATCAGAAACCTATTTTCTGCATTCTCATTTGACAGAAAAATCATATGATATGATCATTAAAGAATATATTTTAAGCTGGCAATGGCATAGAACTAATAAAATTATGATGTATTTACCCGTAAATTACTCCTTCATTTAATGATTTCAACCAGAAATATTTATTTATCATCCCTTCTTCACGGAGAAAAAAGTTCAGCTAATAATAGCATAATGTAAAACAATGACATTTCTGGTAAAAGAACAACATCTTAATTCTGGTTTTAAAACCAAAATATACGAAATTTAAACTATTCATTAGGTGATTTTTTCTGTGCATATGGTAACGGTTTACCGAAAATTTTGGTTTTCAAAAATATAGTTCTCATTACCACACATTTAGTGAAAATTTCAAAAGGGAAAATCAATTTTAGCCGAAAAATTGGATTTGGGTAAAATTGAGCATGACATAAAAATCATTTATTAAGTTAAATTTACTTTTCAGTTTAGTATTTTTCACTAAATGTGTAGTAATAAAAATAAAATTTTGTCAACTAAAATTTCCAGTTTATTAATCATTTGAACTGAGAAATTACCACATAAATGGCTTAAAAATAGTATATATTGATTTTATTTACCATAATTGGGTTTTTTTTTTAACCTGAAATGTCACATTTTGATAATTTTAGTAAAAGCTTTCCTCCATGCTCTTTTTTTTTAAAAGAAAAGAAAAACATTGAGGCAGTAGAACAACTAATTATTAATTTTGTTTCTTAATATAGATATTGAAAACATGAGTTAGAGAAAAAGTATCACCGCAACATTTAATGTATTTAAAACAAGTTAAAAAGCACAAAAATATTTCATATTATTAACAGTCTCATGAAATTTCCATTTATCAATATTTTTGCTTAAATGTTTCTGTTGCATCAGATTGCTTTGTACATGGATTACAAAACCTCTTTCAAAAAAAATATTTGCTAAAATTTGACTCCAACTACTGTAATTCTTTCAGACCTGAAAATCAAGGATCTTAAAAGGAAGTTTAAACTCTGTTGATATCCGGAGTTTGAGAAAAGAAAAAATGTAACACCTGCATCATTTCCGCAGCTTGTAGAAGTTTGCTTCGAAAATGAAAAGAGGATGAACTTTGAGTCTTTTCCATTTCGAGTCGAAGAGCTCTCGTATCTTCCCAAGTGCAAGCTACCTGAATTGAATAAAAAAATAAATCATGATTTTAATTTATTATAATTTTCTCGTTTTATTACAATTTGCACATCCAGTTTGATAACAATTTATTCTATTAACTTATTAAGTTTTTTCAAATTTCTTTTCGTATTTGTGAATGGTGATCATGTGTGATAAAAATGAACGCTTCATTTTTACAGACATTTTACTTGGAGTCGTACAGAAATTTTACTTGGAGCTAGAAGATCTGCTGCTGATAACTCACAGATTCTGCCGGCAAGAAACGATTAAAACTTTTATAGTTCCAATCATTTCAATTATTGAAATTAAGCAAGTTTCAATACATGCATGGTTTCTTGACTGCTGCAAGCAGAATTTATACCAATATTGTAGCCAAAATGAGTTCGATATAAATAATAACTTCAACCAGTTTCCGACTAACTGTGGTTTTTGAATCCCTTTTGGAGTTCAGTGTCTAATACCGTAATAAGCGTTAATTTTTTTTTCTGAAGGCTAGAAACAGAATAAAGCACGATATCATTTCAAAAAGCAATTTATTGTCAATCAAAAATTCTGATTTCCAACCTTTCCCGATTACCTATTTAAGGGTGTTCAAATTTTAACTGGAACACTAGATCTTGTGCGAATAAGTGTTAATCGTATCTTGGTTCCAACAGAATTTAGACCTCTTTATCTCCAAATAATGAAATTACAAACGAAAAAGAAGATTTACGACTGCATTTTTCAAAAAGGATAATAAAATTATTTTTTTACGACTAAATTGAAAAACGTAGGCAGTATTATTTTCTTAATACCCTTTAATCCACTTTCAAATACCTTTTAAGTTTTTGAAAGTTATACATTGTCCATTTAAGATGAGACGAAAATAAAAATAATATTTTTAAGTCCACTTGAAATGCATGGTTTTAAAAAAACCTCCCTGTTCTTTCTAAAGCCAAGAATAAGGACTTCATCCACGCACATGTCATATCTCGCTTATAGGGCTGACTCATTCATACATCCATTCATTCACAGATCGTATTTGTGACCTGAACCAGAGAACAGCTAGACAGCAATTCCGTACTCCCAGAGGTGTGATTTGTTATGGAAGCATGGTGAACTTTGTGACTCTATAAATTTAACGTGCACCAGTCACCATTTACCACACTGGGAGTCTTCGGCCGGTGAGGATCGAAATCACGACCGCTTGGATATGGGCCCAATGCCCTACCAACCAGGCTATCTCGGCCAAAAAATACCCCTTCTAACTAAAGTATTTTCATATGTGTTTCTTTATTAAAGAATTTACTTCAGGTAGGTAGGTACTTTATTTTCATTGGACAAGAGCTGCACAATTCGCTATTGTTGACTGTCTGGGAAACATCCCTGATGATTATCCGAAGACATGCCATCGCAATTTTGATCATCTGGAAAGGGGATGGCTCACTGCTCTGGTTGCCCGATGATCTGCACGTGAAGTCGAGCACTTTACGGTAAAGCAGTTTAACGAGGCCCAATATCGTGCACCCTTAGTCCCTACGCAGACTGATCAAAGTGGTCACCCACCCGCTTACTGATCGCAAATAGTGATGCTTGACTTCGGTGTTCTACTGGGAGTCGTGTCTTTACGATCAGACCACTGCGGGACGAGTTTACTTCAATGCAAAATATAAATAACTTTGCATCGAATATTTAAGAGTAAAATTAATGCATCTTGATTATAGTATCGATATATAAAATACTGTCTTACTTTCATCAGCCAATGGAAGTCACTGTTCAAGCAGCTAGGACAATTTTCATCTACTTCCATAATCGGCAAAGTATCTTCTGCTGTTACTAAGAGTCTGTGATCAGTATAAATTAAGCAGGCCAAGTAAACTCCCCTAAATATATTTTAAAACATACAAATATGTTTTATTCTTAAAAAAAGTCTTAATTTTATAAAAAATGTGCTAATTTACTTCAAAGATTGATCTAATTTCTTATAAAAATGTTGTGTTAATCATATACTCGATATGTACTAATATACTAAAGCAAATAACAGCGTGTATAAAGCACAATTAAAGATTTTGCGTTACTTATCACTGTAAAAATTACGGTATATCAGATCTTTTTTCTTCTGTAATATGTTCCTGTAAAAATGGATTTTATGGTAAAAAGCACTGGCATCCTAAGCACCGGTACTTTTTACTATAATTATATTCAGTATTATATTCGGTATATGTTTACCATGCAGCAATAAAATAAGAGCTCTCCTGATTATAATTACGAAGAAAAAGAACTGATGAAAAGTTAATAACCATAAAATAAAATGTTAAAAGCCATAATATAAATTTTATAAGATTTTTTTTTACAATTATTACTAATATTAAAAAAATAAAACAAATATATTTTTTTATTCAATATTAATAATTTTATAAAATGAATTAATTAAGAAATAGTTTTTGTAAATAGTTATTTTTAATAAAGTTGTGAAAAAATGTATTTTACTGTCTTGAAATATTTTTTGCGCGATATTAAGAAACGTCAAATAATAATAAGAATAATAATGTAAATGAAAATAAATAATACCGCTCGAGATATTTTTGAAACTTGGGTGTTGGAGTAAAAAGATTTCTGATGCTCATTCTACTTTGCTTTCTCTGTTGTCGGGGTGTTCCTAGAACATTTCCAAAAGGAATGTCTGAAATGAAAGACATTCGTTGGTTTTCAGGCATTAGAAAGCGATTATACAAATATACATGTCATATTCACATTGAATTCTTTTTATTAAAAATTGTTGTCTTTAGTTGGCAAACAGGATATGTATTATTGTTTATTTTCACACCTGGATTAAGAACAACATACATAGAGGGGAAAAATATCATTTGAAAAATAAATCACATTATTCAAATTACGTGTCAATTACGTATTATTGCAATTTGTAGACAAGAAAACGAAAGAAAAAATATTACATAAATATAGGCTCCTCGTTGTAGCTAAATCTGAAATCGAATTATTTTGAGTGTTGAATTGAAATTTTAGTTATATTAATTTTATTACAATGTTATCGTATTGTTTCGATATTCTATACAAATTAACTCCTTACACATCAAATAATATATGTTAGTTTCTTTGGGCAATTTTTTTCTCTTCAGTATTAAACATTGCTTGAAACAATTAATTTGTCCGAATAAATCATCATCAAATTAAGAGAAAGTTTAACGATAATTTTTTTTCCATGTAAATAAAGTTTTATTTATTCTCTAAATGCTATCTAGTTTTCGTACTTTTAAAAAGAAAGCTCAAAATGATAAACGGTTTCTCACAAATTTAATTTTGTATTGTCAAACAAGATTTATTAAAGATATCTCCGTCGTTGTTGGGTATCATCCCCTATAAAAGTATCTATCAAATGTTTTCTTTCCTAATGCAATCATATTTCGGTGTATGAATGTCTATTGTAAGGTATAATTTATTATTATAAATACTAAGCGAAATCATATGTCGCTTGAGATTTTATGAAGTTTATTTTTAAAATATTTTTTTTTAAATTTTTTTTTCCAATGAGCTGCACACATAAGCAGATCTAGTGCGTTCTCCAGAAGTGGTATCCACTCTTTCAGGACCACCACGATGGGTGAGATACCGTTGGCCATGTTAACCGTCCCATGTAATGGGACGTCTAGTTTCTGCCACACTAGATGGCAGCACCGAGACTCTTATTTGGATGCTAAAGTGCGCTAGGAATTTTTTAATTTTGCCGGAAATGCCAAGAGCCAATAAGGCACTCCAGGGATCTTTTACATGCCGCATAATCATACGACATGGCCGCTGAGGATTTTCTGCATCCCGAATATCCGGTGTCTGGGCCGGAAATCGTACCCGCAGACTTGGGCTCAGAAGGCCGATGACAAACCAACTACGCCACCCAGCCACTTTTTTTATGAAGTTTAAAATGTGAATAATTTTCACAAGTTTACACAAGATACTTTTTCATTGAAAACCATATTATTATGCTTGCAGGTAACCGTAGTATGTTTGAAATCGAAAATGTAAAGTGTTCTCAAAATGTATTTTAACATATTTTCATATGTTTAGAAAATAACCACGTTACCTGTGATTTCAGGAGAGCCAGGTTCTCTAGTAAATATGATCTGATGAAATACGCTATCTAACTCACATAGACGACCATGAGAGCGAGACTTTTTGCCATTTACGTCCATCCAGCCTACAAACATTCATTATGTAAACTTTATTTATACGTATGAATTACTAAGCGACGAAAATAATTCAATCTGTGAATCAAAGTGAATCATGATTTTCAAGAGAAGAATGAAATTACAAAATAAATACAATAAATAAATTTTGTATTTTTATCACATCATTGGAATGGTAAAATATAGAATTATTGAAGATAATTTACTCATACTTATCTGGGTAATTTTTATTTATGTTGATTTTTTTACCGTGTTATGTCATTTTATCTAAGCCGCATTTATTTACACCATCGCATTTATTTACACCATCAATTTATGACAAAAAGTACTGGTACCCGGGGTGCATCATCCGTAAAATATATTTCGAACGTAAAATTTTAAAACCTAATTTATGGAATAATATTTATATAATTACAGTGATTCAGTGAAATTTTAGTTACTACTACTATAAAAGTTCTGTATATTTGATCTATGTTCATAAAATTACACCTTGAAAACGTTTTTTACAGAACACAAACATTTAAATTTTTTAAGAATTTGTCCTTTAATATCTGAAACGAGAAAAGCGTTTGGTGTCTAATATAGTAACTTGTCAGAACGAAAATGAAACAAAATTTTAATAATTATAATTCATACTCTATAACAAATTTTTTTCAAGGATCACTAAAAAAAAGGAAATATTTTCCAAGTTCATAAAGAATTACGATCTGCAAAGTTTAAGAATATTCACTAAACATAATGCATATTTTATTTCAATCCGACATAATGCAGAAGAAGGTGGTTATTAATTTTTTTAATAGACATAAGGGCGATTTTATAAAAACTTTTTAAAATGATTATGCAAATATTATGAATAAATTTTATCTGCTACATTTTAAAGTTATATAACTCGTATATCTTAAATAATTGATATAACTTAAAATATAGTTTTTTTTAAATTTCTCCAAATATTGTAATATTTTTAATTTGAACTCACTTGAAGGTGTTGCACTTGGTTGCTCTGGTGTTGAATATGGGCTATACCCTTTAGAATTTCCAGCCGCGACTCGAATGTAATATGGGATCCCATGGTTAAGATCAGATAGAGTGACTTCTAATTTCTGAAGATTCATAATTTCTCGAGAACCAGATAATGGTTGAAAATCTGATTGTAAACTCCATTCAACTGTGAAAAACCACAAATGAAAAAAATAATAAATACAAACTGTATTCACTGCTGCATCAAAGGTCTATTTACTAAAAAGTAAAATTAACCGAATAAATGTTTTTTATATCATACTTGGTAAAATTACCACATTAACCAAATTTTATTGTATTTTATAAAACCATATTCTATTGTTAATTTTGTCAAAATTCGTACTAAAGCGCTTCGGTAAAAATTACTAAACATTTTGGTATAGAGCCAGAAACACGATAAATCTTAGGTAAATCTTACCCTATTCTGGTAGTTTTGAGCATATTTTTTTTTCTCTATGTGAAAGGAAAAAAAATATATTGAAACTCATACCTTTGTATTTTGTGACATTAGCATCAGGCTCTCTGGACGATATGCTTGGCGAGAATTTTACTTTTAAAGATTTTGTGCCAACTATGTCAATAGAAACTGCTGATGGTTTATCTGGAATTTCTGAAACAAAGATTTAGTATGAGAAATGATTTGTACAATTCATATAGCTTTTAAATTTTCACGTTAAAAAGGAAATTGAAAAAGAAAGGAAATTAAAATTAAAAAATTAAATTGAAAACGAAATTAATAGGATAGCAAAAAAATTTATATGCTTAAAAAGAGTTAGGTATTATCATATGAGTAAACTCTTTTTTTAAAATTTTACGTTACATATAGTTGTTGTTGTTTCTATTCCCACCGGCCAATACTACAAGCCTGATTTCGAGTTAAAGGCAGAGGGCGTGTTTGAGGTTTTTTCGTCGTGCCATCTATGGTCAAGAGACCGATTTCAGCTACACACTTACGTCACAGCCCATTTTACTGGGAGGACGCATTCATACATCCATTCACCCCTCCACAAATCGTAATTTTGACCTGAACCAGAGAACGATCAATGCCTAATTCAGTACCCCTCAGAGGTATTGAATTGCATGCGAAATTGGAGGTCTTTGTGACCCCAACAGATTTAGATTTAACGTGCAGCAGTCACAATTTAATACACGGGGTTTCTTCGGCAGGAAGTATTCGAACTCCCGTTTCCACGAACTCGAGTTCAACGTCCTACCAAACAGATTATTCTGGCCAAAGTTATACAGTTAAGATAGCTTATAGCAATAATACTTTAAAAAAACATCGTTTTCTTGTTTTACAAGTAGGATTAATACTTCTTGATACATCGCACAACTGCATCCAAAAGCTATTTAGAAATAAAAATAAATTCTGGATGCGACTTACTTAACTTATCCCATTCAGATTTCATTTTCCATATCAATTCTTTCTTCTTTGATCGGGTAGACAGGTGTTTTTCTTTTTCCTTAAAATGTAATTAAAGTTTTTTAACAATTAAGTAAAAGTACAGATATTTTTAAAATCATGAATGTCAGTGTGCAGTTTTCAAATTTAATGGATAATAATAATTAATATTGTTTGCTAAATATAGCTAAAATAAGGTACTATGAATATGTTTATGGAAAATATTGTTTCAGACTCTTCTAAACGTATAGCGTTTGATAGGTATCACTATTTCTTCATTAGCACCGCGGCCCAGTACTGGCTAAGGCTTCCTCAGACAAGCTTTCTTTATCTGTTTACTCCCAATAATGCACTCTGTCTAGCCACCTTCTAGCAACTTCTAGAAGAGAGAAGGTCTCAGCACAGATCAACTTAGTAGTTCGTCTTAACGAACATAAACTGCCCAGTTTAGGTGAACTGAGAAAGATGAAACTACGTTCGGGCTACTAAGTTATGCAGTTGGAAAATATGAAATATGTCATTACGTTTGGACTACCAAAGGATTGTCTTGTAATCTTGCAAATGATCATCTTGCTCGATCAGCTTGAAGTTTAACTGAGTACTTAACTGAGTGGTCGCATAACCAAAATTTTTTTTCACTTTCTCCAAAAGTTTCAATCCTTATAAAAAGTATTACTGAATTTTCGTGTATATTTTTTAATTGTAATGTATGATAGTAGTAATGATGTTTACTAAAAATAGCTATTATTAAGAATGACGTACTTTGACTATGTCTACAGTATGTCTATATAGTTTATATATAATTAAATTTTTTTTAACATATAGCAATTAATTCGATACATATGTTTCACTGTACGCTTAAAATTTTGTGTATATTTTTTTATAATTTTTGTGTATTTTGTGTAATTAATAAAGTTTATTAAAAATAGCTAAGTAAAATAAGGTACCTTGCCTAGATCTACAGATAAGCGGCCACTTGAAGCTGCTCTCAAAACGAAACTGGCTAGTTCTTCCACATATCTATCAGCATCCTTCAATAGAGTAATTAATTGATTTCGTTTTCTCTCTTTCATTTGGGCTGAAAAGTGAAAAAATATGTCGTAATTAATACTGGCAGAATTAAATATAAACATAAATACGGAATAATAGAATAGCATATGCAAATCTGTTTTGAGGATACCATAAGGAGGATTTCAACATTTTAAAGTACAAAAGAATGCAGAATTATGTATTAGAATGGTTTTCTAAATAGCATAAGTGTTATTCAAGAAGTTGTTTATTGTTCCTGTTTCAAAGATTACATAGTTCATGATTTAAGTATTACTTAGTTTTTAAATATTTAGAATATAATAATAGATATATAGATAAAATTACAAGCATAAAAATAATTTCGAAAGTGGTTTATAGTTGTTTTATTAGATAATTATATCTTGCCGTTTGGAGGGTAAGTTAAAAGCATTGATTTTAAAAGCACTTTTTTGGAAAGCATAATTTTGTGCCTTAAAAAAATCAGCTTTCTAATTGTGTTGAATTGTTGAATCAAATTGAAATATCATAAATTAAATAAAAATAAATTAAAATTTTTAATAAAATAGAAAATTAGACAAGTGAAATTCACCAAAATATATGATCCTTTAAGTGTATAGGTAAAATCTTCCGGAATAAATTACGATATAGTACCGACTCTTTGGGTGCATTATCACATGCACTTTGGATGCATTTTACCAAAAAACCAATTTTCATCGCAAAATATTTAATCGTAATTTTTACAGTAAAATTTATTTAATTAGAGGGATTCAGGGATTATTACTGTAAAAATTATGATCAGGTTTTATTAGATTTTAGATTCTGTAACATGTTCCGGTAAAAACCGGTTTTACGCTAACGATAACTAGTACTCTGAGTGGTGGTACTTTTTACCGTAATTTAATCCTGAATTTTTTACGGTATAGTGCAAAAAAACTTTTTATATAAAATTCTAATAACATAATACCCACCTTCTTGAATAAGGAAGCATTTGTACACATAGTAACTCATATCCTCATGTGAGGGAAAATACACTTACAAGCATCATTAATGCAAACAAAATTAACATAAACAAAATTAACATAAACAAACAAGGTAGTTCCTAAATACATTTCTAAACAAAATTAGCATGAATAAACATGTATAATCAAATATACAAATACTATAAACAAAACTAATGTAAACATGTATAATTAAAAGTACAGGCATAAGCAAATCTAGTACGCATAAATAAGCATTTTAATAAAAAAATAGATGTTTAAACAAAAGTTGTAAATAATTTACTCACATTTTGTGGTTTCTCTCGTTTTGTAATTTTGCTGTAACTGCGCCATAGGTACACAGGAAGTCATCACAGAATTTTGTAATAGTTCATCTTCATTTGAGGTTAATAAAGTTATTTTATGTCATTTCTTAGAACTTGAAATACTCTATAAAAATACGAAAAATTACACACTTATACGAAATTCCAGTGGAAGTAATAAAACATGGCATTTAGAGTACTGTAATATGTTTAATACCGGATACTGTCTTGTGTTGTCTTATTTTAAGAATTATTCCACTCTTACGACTGTATTAAAAGAATTTTACAGGTATGCATTAAAACTAATTTTACAGGTATGCATAATGGCTAAAATCGTAAAATTTAAATAAGAGCTACATAAAAATATGTTCTTTAATGTAGCCAGCACACCCATTGTCAAGTGTTACAAGAATAGTTAAAATCAATGCATCTTCCAAGTTGATGAAATAATATCGGAAATATTAATTAGGTGTAATAATGTTTAGTGGCCTACTATGTAATAATCCCTAAAAGCTAAAATTATAAAGTGTAATAAAAATAAGTTTTATATGTAGCTAGCGCACGCATTGAAAAGTGTCCAACCGCATATTCAAGAAAAAATTTCGGCTTTTCATGAAAACATTATTCTAACGAATTAGCGTAATTTGCGTTAATTAGTGCAATTCTTAGCGTAATTTTCGTGAATTAAGTTTATTGACCTTAATCAGAGTAAACAAATATGGCATTGATTAGATTACAATTCAAACATCCGTTCAATTTCCGTCAGGGATTTTGACATAAATTTAAGTCGTACCATGAAGTTTCCGTAGAAATGCATCGTATTTATGCTACCATAAGTTGTGGAGGGAGTATAAAAGGATTGCATTATAGAACGCAATATATGAATCAATGTTCTAAGACTATAAACAGTTCTCATTTGAAACGGTAGAATTGCCTACAGTTTTCTCTTGAAGTCAATCATAAGAACATGCAGGTTGTATAGATACGTCATAATGGTTTTAAAATAGATTCATTTAGAAATTTTGTAGTGATGTATGTACAGCTCTAAAAAATGCAGGCTTATGGGTATTTTACTAGAAACGTCATTACAATACAGTACAGTAATTTTACCAGAATTTATCAAAAAAGTCAGATACTTAAAATTCGATTTTAGGTGCTATTCAGCTGATTTCGCTCAAATTTTGTATTTTGCCATATCAAATTACATTCTTTAAAATGATGCAAAAATTTTATACCTTGCATTTTCAAAATTTTTTTGCCATTCTTAAATAAAATAATAAAAAATAATAAATATTTATCAAAAGTTATTTTCTTTTGAATGGAATTATCTTTGGATAAACAAATTTTATAATTATGTGCAAAATTTTTTCAATTCGCTGAAAATATTTCTGAGATATAGCGAAATACGCTAGCAGTAAAATTAACATTTAGAGATCTAAACTTTGGAACTCTCTACTGACTAAACTATTAGATCTATTCTTCCCACTACCTGTATCTTGGGGGTCAGAGATCCGAATCCATAGGAAGAAAAGTGTGTTGAGTAAGAGAAAGTATGTTTTTGCGTCTTATTTCTTAAGCTAAAATATCGCCTGCTCTTATTAATTAGTATATTTGAGATCGAAAGTTAAAATTATTGATCAAAAGTTATTCTAGGTAATCCGTTCTTTGTTTTGGCGCTCTGTACACTCAAAGAATTGGCACAAGTTGGAACACTGAGAAAAAAAAAATTATGGTCAAAATTATCTGAATATGGTAAAGTTTATCGCACTTCTGGCTCGATGAGCACACCAAATAGCTAGATAATTATTACAGAACTCTTTGGTGAAATTAACAATAAAGTATAGTTTTATAATTTGTGATAAATTTAGGTAAGTGTGCAAAATCGGGAAATTTATCATGATGCTTTAGAGTATCGCATAAGAAAACATTTGCCTTGCAGTTTTGTATTTTTTACTAAATCCGTGATAAAAGGATTATAATTTTTAACCGTTACCATATCAATAGAAAAATTACCACATAAATGGTTCAAAAACAGTATATTTTGGTTTTATTAACAAAAATTATTGTTATTTTTTACCAGAAATATTATTTCCATACAGTACTCTAGAGTGTCTTAAGACATTAAAAGATCGTTGGAGGACCATAGCTGTTGTTCGTACCCGTTTGAAGAAGCTCTTTAAGAAGACCTTGGCCTATAGTAGATTGTAGTGCATGTGGTAAAGAAGTTTTGAAACTCAGAATTGTAAGACTTTGTTACAAGCGAAATCTGTTTACGGAGTTGAACCATATTTTTTTGCAAATTAAACTATTTTGATCCTAATGAAGTGATATTAAGGTTCAGCTTGTACGGATATGCGGTTTAATTTTGCACTCATTAAGGCTGCAGTAAAGTTACATATTATAGTTCAAGATACCCGTGTTATGGTTCAACATTTGAAGCAGTTGTTCTGAAGATGTTGTAAAACGTTAAATTGATGTATATAATGAAAAGAAATGTAGTTTAATTTATATCAACTCAATGTATCAACTCAAAAATGTAGTTTAATTTATATCAAAATAGATATCTTTAAACGTGAAAATTGTAAATGTGCTTTTAAAATGTATGTTTAAAAACTTCAGTTGATAACTTCAAAATGTATGAAAATTAGAACATTTACATTAGTACAGTACTTTAAAATTTTATCATACACTTTTACAAATTTAGAAAAATTGTGAGCCCTAATACCATCAAAATTTGATCCAACCATAATGCGGAATTAAATTGAATCATATTGTCTTTCAAACTTCTCTTTCTTAAATTTGATTAAATGATACTAAATGGTTAAATCCTTGAAAAATTACCGTACTTAAGGTAAGAATCTTTCTAATAAAAACAGATATACCTGGAAAAGAAAACTAAAATATACGGCATTGAAACCAGCAATTTGATGATTTTTATGTTCATATGGTAATGGCTTACTTGGAATCTGGTTTTAAAAAATTATAGTTCTTATTTCCACTCATTTAGTAAAAATACAAAACTGAAAATCAAATGCAACTAAATAAATGGTTTTTATGCTAGGCCTTTAGGTATCATGATTTTTATTATGATACTTTAGAGCCTGAACGCATAAAAACCATTTATACCAAGGTTTCATCCAAAGCCATTTCATATCAAGTTTTATCACAAATTGAAAAACCTTATTTTATTATTAATTTTACCAAAATCATTACCAAAGCTCTTCGGTAAGAATTACAGAACTTTTTTGATATTCCCATAGAGCCATAAATAGATAAACTCTACCATATTCAGGATGGTTTGACCACACATTTTTCTCGGCGTATGCTTAAACTGAACGGAAACATGATTCAAATTCAGAATTTATAAAGGTAGCAGCAAACGTTCACGATAATATGGTTCCAGACACCAATATTTTAGTTCAGCGTTGAACTAGTATTCCTATGATAGTTTTTATCATAGAAATGATGTGATATTTCATGCGCAAATAGATATGATATTGTATGTAGACATGATACTTCCTGTGTAGGAAGATAAAAAGCATATACTCTGAAAAATAACTCTTAATTAATTCATTGATTAGCATTTTTTATACTGTATTACCGCGTTTAAAGAAATGCCTTGTTAAAAAGGTATAAAATTTTTCAGTTAAATAATATGATGTTTTCGTGTTTCTTAGTTCTTAAAAATTTTCGGGTGAGTAACAGCCTTTGAAAAACAATTTGTAAAAAAAAAAACTATTTTAAAATCTTGATTAAATAAAATTAAATTTAACAGTTAAACTTACCGTTTGAACAACATAATGAATAAGAAGATAAGATAAATTTGAAATATGAATAAAACTTTACTATTTCTTGTTCAAAATATTTTTTTAAAGATATAAATGGCCACATTTCGTTGAGTTTTTTCTCTAGAAGATAATCTTTGAGAATTTTTTGACGCTTCCTGTTAATTGCTGACCCAAAGGTTACTATAAATATTTTCATGACGTATGTTTTATTAGAACTCACAGATGATAAGAAAGCTTAGGGCAACGATAGCAAACCCAGGAAATGGACCACAACTGTTTTCAATTTTTGGCGTATCCGCTGTGGTCATTAATTTTAAAAAATAAATAAGAATACGCCAATGAACAGAATGAATGAGTTATTGATTGACATTTCAGAAATTATTATTTAAAATAATTAATTATTAATTATAAATATTTATAATTAATAATTAATAATAATTATAATTAATAATTAATAATAATTATAATTAATAATTAATAATAATTATAATCAATAATTAATAATAATTATAATTAATAATTATAATTCATGCGTCCTATTTGAAAGATAATAACATTTTTGTCTTCTTTTCATCATTTAGTCTGTTGTTGTTTCTAATCCCACTTGCCAAATACCAGAAAGCCTGCTTCAATTAAGACAGATGGTGCGCTTCTTGTTTTTCAGTGGCACCATCTATGGCAAAAAATACGATTTCCGCCACACACACACGTTCCTTGCCTGTTTCAAAGAGTGGATTCATTCATCTATTCATCATTACATACATCTATTCATTCATCTACAGATCGTAATTTTGACCACAATCAGAGAACGATCACTCTTCAATTCAGTACCCTCAGAGGTATTGATTTGTTACGTAAACTTGGAGGACTTTGTTATCCCACGGATTTAACGTGCACCAGCCGCAATTTTTCTCACGGGGAGTCTTCAGCCGGTGTGGATCGACTCACCACTTTTTGGACACGGGCTCAATGACCTTATTCAGTCTAAATAATTCCAGTCTTAAGACTTTCATAATGGACTGAATAATTACAGTCTAAGGACTTTCTGGAACTTTGCACTGAGAAAAAAAAATTAATGTAAAATTGCATGATAATGCCATTTTAAACCAATCAGTTGGTAATTTTTTCGTTTGTATTGCTGGCTTTCAAAATGGGGGTATTGTACTTCCCCTAAACTCTCTAGGTAACGGTAGAAGATTTGTATTGTCTTATTTTTGTGCTATCTGATTTTCAGCTTACAGTGGGATTCAAACATACTACCTCCATTTTACATAGCGTTTGGTGGATAGGCAAGGCTGCATAGCTACTACCGTAAAACTAATATTAAAAAAAAATTCCAAGCATTTGTTTATTTTTACGCATAGATTTACAGGCTCGTGGTTCTTGCTTAAAAGTACGATTTGTTATAAGCCCTTGACAAGTAGTAGTATGTTGTTTTAGTCGCCCTAGAGCTGCACAAAACATCCCTGAGGATGATCCGAAAACATGCCATCGCAATTTTGATCCACAGCAGAGGAGGGGATGGTTCCCCTCTGTGGTAGCTTGACGACCTCCTCGCGAAGTCGAGCACAAAGTCGAGTCGGTGATGCTTCACTTTGGTAATCTACTGGGAACAGTGCCTTAACGATCAAACTACTGCAGGACTAAGATCTTGTCAAGTTGAAGAGCATATAGTTTAAGTTAGAGATTGACATTGCGAATATGTATTGATTGTAGTGTGGAGTTTGCGAGTTCGAATTTCTACGTATCCCTAGATATATATTTCTGATGTCTTCCTCTTTATTGTTCTATCTGTACTTATTTCGACGTAACAAGAGCTTAACAAGCCGAACTTTGTAATTAGCACACAATGCATGTGTTTTTGTAACAATAAATAAATAAATATAAAAAATAGATGCTTCCAGTATTGTGGTTAGACTCGAACTCACTACCTCAACGCTTTTATTTCAGGATGCTGGTACAGCCGTGATGCGTACTAGTTAAGCTACTGATTTAGTTTATCACTATAAAGTATCACTATATTTACAAATACACATAGTTTGTAGATTTAAAGGTTAGTGGATCTTAGCTTATATCTTACATAGGGAAAAAAACAACAACTAATGGACGCAAAACAAAATTAACTAGTGTTTACCAAACAAAAGATAAGTTATTAAACTAGACATTTTTGTGTCATTTCAAATTATGCTACTGTTAAAATTACCTAGCTTTTGGTCAAAAATTTTACCACATTTACAAATAAATATCATAGTAAAAAATACCATATTTTATTACAAATTGTCAAATAGCATTACCAAATCACTTCGAAAAATATTGCCATGATTTTTTTGGATGTTGCCGTAGAACCAGAAATACGGTAAACTTTACCATATTGTCATCAGTTTTGAACATACTTCCTTTCTCAGTGTATATAACAACAAACTATCAAACTCTGCATTCTCTTAAGAGTTTTGTAGTTATTAAATTTAAACTTTTCTTTTTAAATAATATTAAATAATTGTTGCTGAACATAAATTTATTCTAAAAGGCTTTTACTTCTACTTTATTCCTTTGACCTGACTTTTGCAGCATTAAAATTTAAGTATGAAAAGCATTTTATGTAAATGAGTATACTAAGAGATTAAAGTTTTCTACTTTTTCCATTTTCCCGGAAATCTCTTTGAACAATATGTCCCAATCGTCGTGAATATTGTAACAATACCTATATATTGCATGGGAATAAATAATAAAAATAATATAAATGCATCGAATTACTTATTTATATCAGAAGATGTCTAGCCAGATGCTGTAGAAAAAAGAAGTTGCCGTTATAAAATAATCAGAAAAAAAAACTAAAATTTTGTCTTTTAATATTTTTAATCACTCATGGGATATATTATCCCACTGGTAAGTACGATTGGGATATATTGTATCAATGGTAAGTACGATTGAGACAATATATCATACAAAACAAAATGTGTCTAAATTTCTTAAATCTGTTACTAAATAGGTAAAAAGTATTACTTAATAAGAACAAACATAACTACGTGCACCACTTTTTCTTCTCGGTACGGAAATAGCGGAATAATGGAATTAACGGAAAATATGAGCATGCATGGTGACGTAAAAAACACCTATAGTTTAAACCCGATTATTTTTTAAGATATATCAGAAACTCATTTAAAAAACTGTTTTACTTTCTTGGATATAAGAGTTCTCATTAAGCCAAAAATGAACTTTCCAAATTAATTCAGTTCCAGAATAAAAACGCACGTGATGAAGGCACTCAGGAATGATACAAAGAACACTTTTTTAACGTTTTAACTTCACACAAATTCATCAGAATTTTAATGTTATGAATTCTTGAATACAAGGACTTACGTTAATTCAGAAAAGACTGTAGAATTATTGTGCAAATGATGGGACAAAATATCGTTAATTGAATTGCATCCAATAGAAATGTGATACTTTTCTGCATTTAAAGGTAATAACTCGAAAATTTCGTAAATATATTTTTGGTAAAAATGTTTCCACACTTGTTTGAAAGATTGGCTTTGATTTCGAGTCATTCCTTGTCAGATCAATAAATATTGGTGTCTCAAGAGGAAGGCTGTACAAAACTAACAAATTTGATATGCTATGAAACTTAGCACTTCTAAAGCTAAGTCAATAAATTACAATAAAACGTAAACCTTTTTAGTCTCCATGAGCGTAACGTAAGCTTATTTAGTCTCTATTTTGATGTATTTGTTTATTGTGACAAGTGACTCAGCCTTAGTATTGTTCAACTATTTTGGACGCATATTTTGTGACATTTAAGATCAAAAGAAAAATCAGGTCAGCTTTATACTTCGACCTAGAGTCAGAAAATTCAATTGGGTATCAATTGAAAGGAAAATTCCTTTGCTTTATGTTGGTACTTGAAATTTTCTTTTACTGCAATTTGAAAAAAAAGTTACAGCCAATTATATGCATGCAAGTTTATAATTTTTTGAGTGAAAATTTAGCTCTTTACGTGTTCAGAAATAGGACAATATTTAAATTAAAAATCTAAGAATTGGCAGAATTACTTACTTCATTATGTGTGTCTATTGCACCAAATTTAATTAAAATCAAAGGGGGGTCGTTCCAAATATAATTTCTCTGCCATAGAATAAATTATAAACACACATTAAAATTACAGTGTATACACACAAAGCTATTTTTTCGAATCCCATAATTAGTACCATATAGTTTCATTTATGAATATATATATTAGAGGTTGATTTAAATAAAGGATCCTAAGTCTAGGTTAAGTAGAATGTTAAATGCAGAAGTGGATTTTGATTAGTAGGAAAATGTTTTACCTTCATTAAATACATAGTCTTAGTTCTTAGATTCATTAATTTGAACAGTTTTTTTTCGGTAGTATAATTCTAATTACAAAAATTTTTGGATTGAATTTAAGTAATTAAGATTGCAAAACTGAATAAAGTAGTATTTTGGAATAATACATTTTGATAAAAGAAATATATAAATATAGTGCATCTTTTTTTTTTCATTTTATATTTTTGCACTTTATAAATTTCGACAAAACTACTCAGAAACTGTGCTAATAACATATTTATTGTTCAAAGTAAAAACTTAAAAAAGACTTGTGATCCCTGATAACTTAAATACTTGTTATTTATAAAATGAAAGAAAAAAATGCCAAGTAAAATGTTTTTATAAAAATTTTTTCAAATGCAAGAACAGTTGAATATTAATTTTCATGCATAGTTATTAACAAATATAAAAGATTGAAAATGGGCAATTATTTTTAGAATAGCGTTTTGTTCAGTGTTTAGTTCAGTATTTTAAAAATATAGTTTTGCCTCATACATATTTTTGTTTTGCATAATTAGCGTTCTTTTAACTTGACTTTTTAGTAATAAAGTTTGTTTCATAAGCAGATAAGGAAGATTTATACATGTCCTTTGAATCAAAAGATGTAAAATATTTCTTAAAAGCAAACATTCCTTTGATTTTTTTCTTTTTGATATAGTCCAATAATATAAGCATTTACCAGCTCTTTTCCTTGAAAGTATGAGAAAATTTCATAGAATGTGAGAGCTTGTATTAAATACATTGAAATTACGTTGCTGTGGGAATGAATTGGTTTTCTCTTCAAAAATATAAAAAAAAGTGTTTCTTAGTTTCTTTATATTGAATTCAATTCACTTAAAAGTAGCCTAAGCAATGTAAATTAAATAAAACTTAGAACTATTTTAACCACAAAGAAAATAAGTTTACATGTTCTTTCTGGGTGATACTCTAGTATAGCAGTATAATTGTATACAATTTTAACTACTAAAACGCTTCTAAATGTATAAATGTAACTATTGAAATACTGAAAAAATATGAAAAAATCAGTGTTAATTTAAACTTTATTTTCATAATTTTTTTTCAAATTATTTTTATTGCAAACAATATTACATCAGAAATACATACTCTATTTGATTTTAAGGCACATTAGTTGAAAATTTAATAAATATAGGATGCATTCTGTATTAATTAATCTATTTGAAGATGATCAAAAAAAAATTTTATGAGAAATTTTTTTCCAGAATAATTACTAAATTTTGGCTAAGTACAATTATTTAATATGAAAAATTTAATGGTCATAAAAAAATAAACTTTTGCAATAACAATGAATATAAAAAAATAATATAAAAACATTTTACAAAATAAATTTTTTTTAAGATAAATAAATATGAATTGTTTAAAATGCAATGATATTGTACTTCAAAATATATTTCTAAGAAAATGATTTTCATAAAAGGAATCTATGCTTAAAGCGAATGAATATATTGGAAATATTGGGAAAAATTTTGAACTTTACTGGTCAGAACTTTCTACTAAGCAACAAAATATATTTATCGAATTTGTTACCAATTTTCCCAATCATTTTGTTTTATCAATGCTTAATAAATAATACTAAAATATGAGTTTTGCGTCAAAAATTGAATAAGGAATAATAATTGACACAAAATAAAGGAATGCATATATTCACTGAAATCATGCTGAAATTTTAAAACAAGTAGAATAAAATTCTTACCTTTACCGTCTGATGTTGAAATAATATATTTGCTCAAAATATTAAACCAATGAATAAACCACATAAATTTTCTATAAAACAAAGTATCCATGTGTTTACGTATAAGCTTAACGCATTAATTGTAAGTCGTCATGATACCACGCAGTCTAGTACAAGAAAAAGATTTTTAATTCTGAAGAAAACCGGATGAACACACAGAACAGAGAGATAAAGCAGAAGGAAAAAAAAACTGATGAAAAGTAATAAACATAATAAAAAAAAGTATTAAATTAGCGACAGGACGTTGTCAATGCTGCCATGTTTCCGCTGGCGTTAAACGTAAACCTTAATCTAAACTCAGTCAAAATCAGGTTACTTGATATCCCGCGCAGCTGGTACAAATGAACATTATGTATTTCATTTCAATAAAGGATATATTGTGGTTTAAAATTAAATTTTTAAGACTTACGCAGCAATGTTTGTTTTTTCTAGTTTGTTGGACCATTAAATATATGACTTTTGATGTACAATAGATTAAAAGATGATAAAATAGTTGTAAGATGAGGTTTGGGTTCTTAAATTCTTCTACAATTGTAAGAGTATATAGACTTGTTTAAAAAAAACATATTAATGACATATAAATTTAAACATATAAATTTTACATGCTGTAAAATATGCGCAAAAAGTGAATTATTAGAAATTATTACTTCTTCATTATGTTCTATTAAAGATATGAGATTTAAAGAAAAAATATAAGTAAAACTGTTTTTTCTTACCTTATTTACTTTAAGAAATTGTTTCAGTATTTTTTATATACATTTTTTGAGCAGACGGAACACCGGTGTTCTATATATATATATATATATATATATATATTCNATATATCACTCTTTCTTGCGAATATAATCGTGTAAGCTGATGAAAAGATTATATCTCTTATTTTCCGGACTTTTTAAAAAAAATTTGTCCTTTTTTTCGGAAATTCCCCCCCCCCCCATTTCTTGTTATTTTTATTATTATTATTATTATTATTTTCCCTTTTTTCATGGTAGAACAACACACTCACACACATAAATATGCAAATATTAGTAAATAAATATTAGTAAATAAATAATTATAAGTGAATATTAATAAATAGATACTTACAGGGTTGCTGCGGGACACGAATCTGCTACTTCTACGTTTTCATTTCAAGAAGTAGGGACAATCTCAATGTGTCACAGTAAGGCTACTGATTTAGATCTAGCCTTGTCCGGGTATTTCTAAATTAAAAATACACATTTTATTATAATTTTAAAGTTTGGTATATGTTAGCTCTTATAGCTTACACAGTTTACAAATGACGATAGACGTTTAGATAAAACTACCTCACTTTTTGGCGTTCCTATAGAACCAGAAACAACTTAAATTTTACCATATTCTGGAAGTTTTGGTCATTGTTTTGTTCTCAATGTTAAATAGGAAAATTTTAATCTAATTACTGCAGCGAATTTTCAGGAAATTATGGTTAAACTTAGAACTGATTTTTCTGAGAATTTATGGTTTCAACAAGTTTTCATCATACTATGTGGCTAAACTAGCATAAACTGTTTTAACTGTGTAGGAACAAGATTTCAAAAAGCACAAGACTTTCAAAAAGCAATTTCAATAGTTCTCAGTGCGTCATGGTTCTATCAAGCAGTTCGTCGCTTATTATTGGGAGTATTATAAGCTTATTTTTTAATTCAAAGCACTATTTGTAAGTAAAATAAACCTTTTTATACTTGAAGTATAAAAAACAAGATAATGGAATTACTTTCTTGTACAATGAGAATCCTTAATCCTTAACTATAATATAACTTATATGTTTTTTAATAATTTCCTCTAATCGCCACGTTCGCAAATGTTTCACTATGAAGTCGCTTGTAATGATTTGAGTTTAGATACACTAGTGTACTAAATATATACTCCATAATGTCATTTAAACACCAAACTAAATGAAGGAAGCAAGAAAACTCTGGAAAAAAATGAGATCAATTTAATGATGATTTTGTTATGATTTTTTTATGAAGAAAAATGCCATGAATAAAAATGTCATAAATAAAAAACTCAGCAGTTTTTTAACATGAAATAAGAAAACGACAAATGAAACATGAAATTATGCATGCACATTGGTCAAAAATTTTGAACTATATTATTTAAATTATTATTTTTTAATGTACTAATACATTTATGAATTCCAACACATGAGATAGTAAAAATAAACAATTTATCAGAAATTGTGCAGTAGTATTGTCAATTAAACTAATTTTTGATTTCTCAAAGCATTTTTTATAACTGAATTTCTATTTTTATTTATTTATAACTAGCCATATTCAAATCGCATCCTATCAAATAAATCATAATACTTTTTCTTTATTATCCATAACATTAATGATATGTGTTCCTTAAGGGTATCCCCTTTCTTGATTATATTATGGGACATAACATAATCAAAGAGAGGATTTCGCTTAAAAAAAATTCTAAAGGCTTATTGTCAATGCAATTTGAAAGCATGCCTTAAGGTAAAAAAAATGTGTAATAGGAACAAAAACTGCATAAAAGGCATATTATGTTAGAGCTAAACAATACTTTTCTTTATTTTAGCTTTTTTTGTGATGTAAAAACAACAAAACTAAGGACAATATGATGTATAAGAAAGCATAAATAAAGGTTTTGTTTTTCGCACGGAACGAAGTGTATCAGAAAAGGAAAAAAGTTATTTAACATTTACAAACATAAAAAGAAATTAAAGAAAAATTTAAACCACAGCTTTGTTTTTGATGACTTTAAATTTTGATATTGAATTAAAATGTGAAGAATTCTTCGTTGATACGTTTTGGTTAGATTTAAATAACACGTTTGCAAGTATGTGCTTGCACTTCAAGAGGAGAAAGACATGAATATCCACACATGTGACCTATGACACATGTGTGGATTGGCTCGTTTATAAGGAAAATAGCATGTTAAAGTAAAGCTAAGTTTCTCCACATAAGTTAGAATATGTATTAATGTGAATTAATTAAATACATCACCGTATCGTACATCGAATTTGTTGCAAAATGACGTGTTAAAGTGGAGCCAAGTTCCTCCGTATAAGTTAGAATGTTAATTAAAGAGAAGTTAATTAAATACAGTGCCATATCAAATTTGTTAAAATTGAATTCTTTCTTGTGAACATCTTTTACTGAACTTACATTTATTATTTGTAATTATTTTATTGTAACCTCTATATAGTTTTGCTTTGTGTTCCTAGCAACTTTGATGAATAATTAGTTTGTTTATGTTCTACGTGACTTCATGTCTGTGTTTATGTTATGTAAGAAATGTATAGCGCAAGAATTGAAATCCTTGTGAAAGATTCTTTGTGTAAGAATATAAAATGTGTCACTAAAGAGAATTGATAATTGACAGGATCGGATTACTTGAAATAGAATAGAAAGAGCAGTTCCTAACGTAAACAAATGCCACGTTTCAACAACCAATCAGTATCGAGATACTCACATTATGTTACTTGCAGATATCCCATTGGAAGATTTGTATTCCCATTCCAAAGAAACGCATTGGTTGATATCTGCAATCGATTGATCATTAATTGATGGATTACTAATGGACAGGTGGATTACTAATGGATGGATTACTAATCGTAATATGAAAGTGACATCAGTTTAGACTTCTTTATTCAACTTCAAAGGAAATTTAGTTTTTTTAATGTTTACTTTAGAATATAAATAAAGTTTCCGCAAAAGTGTATGGCATTTTGATTTAACATGCTTCTGTATTTTTAACTGTGATTATTTTTAAAATACTTTAATTTTATTCTACTGAACATTTCAATTTAAGTCATATTACGATAAATGAAATTTAATGCATTCAAATTCTGAGGCGCGTTTTCTAATTTATATTAAAGTGAGAAATAGGATTACAAAAAAAAATTCAAAATAAAATCGAATTTTAATTGAGGAAAGAAGTTACAGTTATTCACACTTAATTTGAGAAGCACTTTGCATTGATTAACTTCTACAAATTGACAATTTATTTACAAACTAAACTATTAGAAATTTTTCGGCAAATGGTTAAACAACAATTTATTTTATTGCTATTTTACATTATACAAACAAAGCTGTCAAACAACCATAAATAAGACTGTATTCAAGCTGCTAGCAGTGAGAAAAGCTGTTTATTACCTGCTTTCTCCTAATACGGTTACAAAACCAAAACTTTGTAACACCAATTAGGCCCACCTAATGAAGCCACTTAGTTCCTTGCACCTGAGTTCATGCTATTGTCGAAAGGGCTAATCTGTCAATCTCATGATCAACACAACGAAAGTTCGAGTCCTGATGTGGTTACCACAATATTTTCTTTATTCCGTTCAACACTTGAAAAGTTTCCAGAGTCCTGCACCCCCCCTCCAATTTGTGACGCTGAACTATTAGAGTATGATACTCTCATTTTCGCATAGATTGCAGCACCATAAAGCTGCTTAACACAAAAATGTCTACTATTTCCTTTATCCTACTACAGGCGAAACAACTAAATAAACGAATTAAACCGCATTCCATGATTTATTTCATAAAACTCAACTCAACCACAACCTAACTTCATTGTCCATTACCTAACAAAATGAGCCTAGCTCCAATTTCCAGTTAAATTAAATTTTTTATGGTTTTGAAACTATACTAGTAGTAAATGGTTAAAAAACTGTATAGTTTTTATTAATGTTTTTCTAACCATACGAGTTGTAAACGGTTTCAAAACTATAAAGGTTACAATGTTCTTTACCGTAAATTTTAGGATTAATTAGAGGGATAGTCTGCATCCGATTCAGTAACCGTAATTTTAGAATGAAAATTGTAAGTGTTATTAAGTGGAAAGAGCGAATTTATTTAGCCTATTTGTTTTTAATACACAATTTTATTCTTATATTCTTCATTATCTTCCTAAATTCCATTCATATATAATTAATATTTCTTTTTAAATTTATCACCAATAACTTAATGATATTGAAATGCTAATAAATATTTAATGATATAAATTTTAAGCAATAAAAGTACTATTTTAAAAGCTGATATGAATAGTTTATTTACTTCCGACTATAGGTATATGTGTCAACGAAATATTTGAAATACCTTTAGGGCAGTCATGCATAAAGTATGAATTATCAAGAGGAAACTTTTTTTTGATGTAAATAAAAACCTCTTTGAAAGGATTGAAAATTTTGATTTATTTTTTGTTGATGTTTCCATCATGCATTCTAAGTCTCATGTATTTTATTTCAAAGTAAATATTCATCATTTTTTAAAAATATTCAGAGATGTCACTCTCTTTTGAAAAGCCTTTTCA